TTAGGGACGATTAATAAATGTCATAAATGTAAACCCATGATGTATAAGTATACGATGTATGTATAGGTAAAGTTTGCTCGGCTGACACGCACGGTGCGGCCCGGAACGCTTGACTGTTTGCCGCTCTAATGCACATGTACCTATCACAATAAGGGCTAATTGCAAACCAGATTAAAGGCTTTAGTTATAATGGACTTGCTTGTACTATTATATGCTCATAGTAATTTACATCAGCATTCACTGCGTTGTTGCTTATTGTTTTTTGCTCATAAATAGTTAATGCTTTAGACATGAAAAATCTACACCTTCGCAAATATTATTTTAAAGTAAAAAAGATTTTCTTAAAGCTATGATATATATAGGGGAGGGTTGGGCGAATTTTGAGTTTAGCCAATAATAATGCGATACGTCAAGACATAATGACAGTTTTGTTAAATGTATACTTTCGTTGTAGAATTAAACCATAAAAAGTTATTAACAATTTTTTAAACAAAAAAAGTGGGGGCGAGACGGCATTCATCTTTTTGTTAGTACACATTTTATATTTATGCACAGAAAGAGAAGAATGTAAAATATATATATGTTGTGTAACGAAAGCAATGCACACAGGACAATTATTTCTGTGGAAAAGGCAATTTTTACTATAGTTATAAACAGAAAATGCTTTTTAAATAGTCACAATTGCGATAAAGCAATTCTCTAGAGTGTGTAATTATTATAACGATTAAAAGCAGGTAATTTTAACTCGCTGTTATTTAATTGATAATATGAAAAGAATACATATTTTTTATAAAATTATGTTATTGATGTTGAAAAACTTTCAGTGGTATAAGTAGACCACCCGCACGTCGATGCGGCGGTAGTAAAGAAAAAGCATTCTCTTTTTCAAAACGTTTAGGTCTTTTAAGACAACATATACCTGCTATCCACCTGCAGTCAAATAAATATATAAGAATTTGTTTCATATTTGTCTAGAATTAGTAATACGGAGCTTTTCTCTAGAAAACGATTGGATAAGGATCTTAAATATATACATAAGCCATCTAATGTCTATACCTATTACAAGAGAAAATTTTTATTTCTTTTAAAAGTAGATAGTTTAGAAAATATTAAATTTAAATGATTTGGGATATATATGTGACGCTCCACGAGAAAAGGGACCTTATGCGACAAAAAATTAATTTCCTGTTTTATATGCGAATCGATAGTAATTGAGTTGCTCTTTCATATAGAAATGTCAAAAATAATATTTTTCTAATAACTTTTTTTGTAATAAAGCTTTAAACATGACCATGTCAATCGCGTTCCAGCACGGACTACGGAAACCATCCCCACTACCACTACTACTAGAATACTTGTTGTATCCGTGAGACGTAGGAACGATGTAGTAGTAAGATAGTGGGGCTGATTTTCCCTGGCGCGTCTCAGCCAATCATAACGTTCGATTTTAAACGCCTTTCCTGTATAATTCTGTTTTGTCGCATAAGGTCCCTTTTCTCGTGGAGCGTCACATATGTAGGCCATACAATAAAGACAAAAAGTGCTACTAATTGCTTACAGATTTTTCTAAATGGATTTTGGTAGTTTGGAGGAATAGTATAATGGCCCCATAGTTTGCTCTCGATTTCCGGTTGCAGAAATTGTTATAAACAATGGTCAAAGTTGGTGAAACGTGGTTTTTTGTTGCTCGTTACTTTCTTTTAAATTTTAGAGGAAAAAGTTGTTATTAAAAAGAAAAGGTATTAAAAATACCTACAAAATGGCGGGTCGAAAGTTAAAATCGGATTATTTGTTTAAAAGTATTTTTAATACCTTTTCTTTTTAATAACAACTTTTTCCTCTAAAATTTAAAAGAAAGTAACGAGCAACAAAAAACCACGTTTCACCAACTTTGACCATTGTTTATAACAATTTCTGCAACCGGAAATCGAGAGCAAACTATGGGGCCATTATACTATTCCTCCAAACTACCAAAATCCATTTAGAAAAATCTGTAAGCAATTAGTTGCACTTTTTGTCTTTATTGACTGGCCTTATAGTTGCCCACAAAAAAAAGTTATATATGACCAAATGTAACGCGGGACAATTATTGTATAGCAAATGAAATATTTCCGAAATGGTTAATCATACACATACAGCGAAATTTTTTGCTATTCTAAAGAAACACACCCAAGCAAAAATTTCTGTCAAACGCCGATATTGACAACAGCCGCAATCATGCACCAATACTGGCTGGCCGACAGTTGGCTTACCAGTATTGACTCAGTACTGATATGGATTAAATTCTGTACTATGCTAATACTGCAAGTCAATACCGGCATGCCAGTATTTTCCAATACTATGTCAGTATTATTGAGACAGTAATTGCAAACCAGTACTCGGTCAGTATTAATTCAATTATAAAAATTGACTTCCATGAAGTTGGCGTTGACGCTCAGCGCCGAAAATTATTTTCCACAGGACCAAAAATGTCAAATTATTTTATTTTTAAAGATTTTCGGTTCAAATATGTAATACCTTCATAGACGTGAAAATTGTGTATTTTTGTTGGTTAGAAATTAAATTTACATCATATTTTTTTAAAAATTATTTTAATACTTCTTTTCGATTACTGCAATATAGGTTCGTTAACGGAATTATAAAATTTAAATTTAATATTAAAACTTTTTAATAAAAAAATACATAATTAATCAAGTTCTCAAATTATTTTTCTTCTACTGAAAAAATTTATTTGAATCAAATAAACTCTATTTTAACCAATAATTTCATTCAATTTCGATAATTTAAACAAATACAAATAAATATATATTTTATAATATTTGAAGAAATTATTTGAATAATAAAATAAAGAGTAAAATGTTAATATAAAAAAATAACAATTTAAAAGTTATTATAATAATTTATTATTATTAATAGTTAATGATATGAGTTGGTTCTTTGATCCAGCAGCTCAATTAATGTAAAAAGCAAAAAGAACTCTGAATTTTGAATATCTACCAGTACTGGCTTATTACTGGTTACTATAATTTTGCCCGTACTGGCAAAATACAGAATTACTGCTAAATTCCAGTAGTGAACCAGTACTGAACGCCAGTACTAAGCCATTACTAATAAACGTGATCATCCCAAACATATGCCAGTATTGATTCAATTTTGGCGGTCAGTACTTTCCCAGTAATTGCCAGTACTGGCGCAACACTGCGCCGGTTGTAAATTTTTGCTCGGGTATATGTATAGTTTCTAGTTATAGATTTTTTTTCGGGAAGTCATTTTACCGCCCAACCTCTTTATAACTGTTCGAAGGGCGGTTAGGGGAAGAAGTTAACAAATGTAGGGGGGCCCTACTATACGACGTGTATGTGTATTACGGCTTGGAACCTCTTTATAAGCTTTACTGCGACACTTTCCTATTAAGCAAACGCAAGCGAACGTCAAAAATTATCAAAAGCTTATAAAGAGGTTGTTGTTGATTCTATTTGTTTTGGCTTCGAGTGGGGGACTTGTCGAGGACTCAACTGACCTTGAAGCTTATAAAGAGGTTGGGCTGTATTGAGTTAATATTCAAGTAATATTACATGCTTTACAGAGAGTTTATTTAATAAAGATTAGGTAATGTAAGATTAATATTACGAATCTTAAAAGTAATATTACCTTGATATTAATAAAGTAATATTGCGTATTGCTTGGGTGAATAAAAATAATTATAAACAGTTATTTGACATCAATTTAGAGGGTTGTCGGTTTCTGTATCAACTGACTGATAAGGACAGTTGAAACAATGTACATGCCCCAGCCAGAAAAGTCGGATATATACCGGTATACCGGGAAAATAGTAGGTATAACCGGGCCAAATGTTAAATGACAATTGACAAAGTACCGGGCCGGCGGTAAATATGGACATGTACCGGTAATGGTAACTGGCATCGAGATGGTCTTTATTTATTTTTTTAACTTAATTTTTTTATTTTATTATTTATTTTATTTATTATTTTATTTTTATCAGGTCAGTCTTGGGCCGGTTTATTAATATGACATAGTCTACAAAAATAACTTTTAGTAAAATTATTTGCATTCCGTTTAATAAAGTTTAAAATTGTTCTCAGTTTTAGTTTATAAGCTCACTTTGCAGTTACTTTTCATAAGCAGGTTAAGGTTAGTGGATGTGGCATCGACTTTGCAGCCGAAGGGTCCGGAGTTCAATTCCTCGTGTCTTCAAATTTTAATTAGTTGTTTATAATGTTTTTGATTGTAACTCTGTTTCAGCATTTTATTTTCTGTTCCTAATTAAGAAATAATAATGAATTAATTAATATAAATATGTCCATATAATAAAATAAACAAATACCCTGCCAGCATTACGCCAGCAGAAAAGTATTACAATAATAAAGTTTAACCGGTCTGGTACCGCACCTTTTGTTTATTATAGTACCGGCCGGGTACTAATAAACGATTGGGCCGGGTATTAATCGAGTTATAATTGTTGACCGGATCGGCGGAAATAGCGGTGTTACGCCGGTACCGGCAAGTCCGCCGTTGGTACCGGCCCGGTTCTATAAATGCTTCTTTTTGTAAAAATGCCTTTTCATAACTACATATATAATATAAGAGCTATATATAATATAATATAATATATCTGTTGTTATATAATCACATTGCCAAACAAATAATTCTCTAAAATGTATCATCAGCTGTCCCTGATCTCCCCTTCTTTTTGGCATTGAAAAATCAAGCACAGGTTAATTCAATTTTTTTGAACGTAACCGTTACTGTTATCACTTCACTCTAAATTGAGCGATCCAATTCTATGACTCGTTCGTTGTTACGGCTGTAGCTGTAGCGGCTGGCTGAAGTATATAGGGGAATTCGAATGTCGCGTGTATATAGAGCAATGAGTTATAGAATTCGAACGCTCAATTACTTTTCTCTTTAACTTACACACGCAAGTAAATTGAGTGAAAAGTTTTATTAAGTAAATTAAAAAAAATTTAACCTTGTTTTAGGTATGGTTTAAAAATCGAAGAGCAAAGTGGAGAAAACAGAAAAGAGAAGAACAAGAAAGACTAAGAAAATTACAGCTTGACCAGAGACCAGCAGAAAGTATTACTAACACTAATTTAAATAGAAACCATGATCATGATACTGACAGTTCTGATTTAGAGGTCGCGTAGTCTTTTTAAAAATTTTAAATAAATAACTAAAAATAATAATTAACCGGATAACTTAATTTTCTTATCCTCTAACGGATAACTGGGGTACTTTATAACCCCAGGATTGAAACGTGTGTGTAAGGTTTCTATTTTTCTGAAAACAACTTCTATATAGTAAATTTGTTTCATTTTTTAATAAGGAAAACGATTTTATTATTCAGTTTTCAATAAAGTAAAAATAATGTAGAACAAAAAAATATCAATTTATAAAAATTGACATTTATTACTTCGATTGGTATGTTCCAAATCACCCAGTCATCCGTTCTAAGGTTAAGATAAAAAATTAGTATGTATGTATACGTTAAAATGGGCCATACTAAAAAAACGTTCTGAAAGTTATTTCTGTGAAATTTTTAATATGCCATAGCATCGCGCGGCTCTGAAAAAATTTTAGGGCTTTGTTGTACACCGAAAAAATAATTTGTTAATATTTCTACATGCAACTATTGTAAATAAATGATGTTAAAAAATAACTGAAATTTTTATGATATACTATCAGTTATTAACTTTTTCTTAACTAGTTCTGTGTAGATTATGCGTATGTTTCATGTCATAGAAAAAAATATTTTGTTGTATATCAAACTAATTTAATGCTAAACGACAGAATATGGCGACACCTATGTGGCTCTTTTGTTCTGTGTCTTTTTTCTGGCTTAAATCTAGTTGCTTAACATACTCAAATTAAATTCACATACTACAACTTGTTTTAGACACGATTATTGCTTGGGTATTTTTGGGTAAGGCTCATACAAAACTGCGAACATTCGGCTTGTAAAATGTAAATGACAAATGTCGTTTTTTAAAAATTTTAAATTTTTAACAAGCCTGAAAGAAATTTTTGCGTCTACTTAAATAAACAGAAATTTAATTTTTTATTACACTGAAAGACTTTTAGTACAATACACCGGCGATGCGAAATAAGTAACAGATCATAAAGCAGCGTCTACAATAAGCGCGTCGGACGTGGACGCGGACGTGTACCTAATGAGAGAGAGGGGTAAGATGTATATCTCCGTACCCCTCTCTCTCATTAGGTACACGTCCGCGTCCACGTCCGACGCGCTTATTGTAGACGCTGCTTAACTCAATTTCATATAAGCGCCGCGAACTAAAATCGAGTACATATATACATATATAGTAGCGCCACTAATACAGGATTATCCATTCCACAGAGGTGCAGCGCTAAATGTCTCTCAATGTAGGTAATAATTCTTTAAACAAAGTTGATTTGAAATTAAAAACTTTACTTTTTCTTTACTTAAAATTCAGTTAGTAGTAGTGATGTACATGTAGTACAAGTATGAAACTGTAAAAAATAGGCGTTTTTGGACTTTTCAAAAATTGGGGAGGTGCAGCAGTTCACTGAAAAAACATTTGCGGAAAATGCAAAAATATTTGCTTAACCCTTTCACTGTCAGCGTCATATACGTTGAGTCGTGATCATCTTAATACAAAATAAATGAAATTTTTTATTTAAATTGCAAAATAAATTCTTTTATATCATTATGCGCATACTACTGATATCAATGATATTTGGTTAAGTAATAATTAAATAATCATTTATTATTTTTAACTAATAAATAATTAAAAAACAAGTAAAAACAATGATTTTTTTTTTATTTTTAATTTAGAGACCCCAAAAATCCTTCTATACTAAATTTCATAAAAATTTGTGGACATTTTGGGACCACAGTATCAATTTTTTCTTTAACAGTGAAGGGGTTAAGTTCTTTAAATGTTCCATCAAAGCTTCTCAAAAGTGAATAAATTAAAATTACTTTGGACGGCAGTATTAGAGTTACAAAAAGTATAATGTTACGGAATTAATGAAGTTCTCATATTATTTTTCTTACACTGAAAAAATATATTTGAATCAAATAAACTCTATTTTAACCAATAATTTCATTCAATTTCGGTAATTGGAACAAATACAAAAAAATATTTATTTTATAATATTTGAAGAAATTATTTGTACTGGCAAAATACAGAATTACTGCTAAATTCCAGTATTGAACCAGTACTAAACGCCAGTACTAAGCCATTACTAATGACCAGTACTGATAAACGTTATCATCCCAAACATATGCCAGTGTTGGTTCAATATTGGCAATCAGTACTTTGCCAGTAATTGCCAGTACTGGCGCAACACTGCACCAGGTGTAAATTTTTGCTTGGGCAATTATTGACTAACTTGTGCACGCCTTTTTTTAAACGAAATAACAATTTTTCTTTCTCTATGCAGAAATGGAAAATTGATATATAAAACTATAAAATGACATCTTATTTAACTAATTATATGAACAAATAAGTATAATTATAATAAAATAAAAAGTACATTAAATTAACAATTTTCTCAAGATTACGAAAAAATAACCATTTGAGTATATTTGACGCAATGACGAAAAGGACCTGGGCAGGAGAAAGAGTCGAGCGATTGGACGGTCACATGTGAGAAGGGGTAAAGGATTTTAATTTTATTATAATTGTACTTATTTGTTCGTATTATTAGTAAAATAAGGTATAGCTACCTGGTCTTATTTATCAATTTACCATTTTCGCAAAGAAATTGACAAATTTTTATTTTTTATTTAAATGAGAACCGGCATAAATTGTTCATGGTTTACGTTCTCAAAGACATAAATGAACATGTAAGAATATATTTGTATATATTTATATGTATGTATATTACGTAAATTCAACATGCAAACAATTTCTTTTACAAGTATACAGCTTGTACACAAAAGCTTACAATAAGATTTTCCCATGTCAGAAGTTGTTCCACGCGAAATAAACAAGATAGATTGTTTCATTTTCTAGAATAGAAGGTCAAATCAAAAGTTAGTCCAACTTTCTATTTTCTTATTTTCCAGTTAAAAATCAAGTTATAATTAAAAAATGTTTTAGTGAAAGTGTTAACAATTTTATCTTTATCACTTTGAAACATTAAAAATTGTTCTTGAATAAAGTTCAAAAATATCAGAGCCCAATCAGCACAAAAACTTGCAGGAAGCTTGCCGTGCGAGATTGCAGAGCAAACATGTAGCAAGTTTTGTGCAAGCAACAAAAAGTCCTCTTACAGCAAGGTAGTTATAAGCAAGCTTGTATAATATTAAAAGGAGTTTCCGTTTACAACTGCGCATCGAGTTAAGTTTTTCAAACTTGCAGCAAACTTGCACCAAGGTTGCCTTGCAAGCTTGCCATAATAAGAGGACATTTTGTTGCTTGCACAAAACTTGCTACATTTGCACTGCAATCTTGCACGGCGAGCTTCCTGCAAGTTTTCGTGATGATTGGGAGAATAAAAAACGACAAAATTGAAATGACTCATTTTTGTTGCACTTCAAATCAAGTCTGATCGAACTCATTTTGAGTTAAAGTTTTTTCTGTGATACTTGCTACAGTATATTTAAATTTTAAGGACAGGTGACTATTATAGCTCATGTGATTCAACATAATCACAGCGAATGCTTTTACTATTTTTGACTTGTTAACAAAATTTTAGATCAATCTATCAAGTATTTTGATTGAAAATCTATACAGAGATTATTTGTAGGTGGAATTAAAAAGGTGCTGTTAAAAATATCCGCTAGTCCATATGCTTTAATTTAAAAATAGTCATTTTTCTCGAAATTCAAACAGTATTATTGCGGAGAAGTAGGAACAATAATTACACTGAGTCGAAAAAAATGGTTGTTATTAGATCTACTGTTATTAGTTTCACATCAGAGAAAACTCTTAAGTTGTGACAGCTGAAAGAAACGGGAAATTATCTATTAAAAAAGTACATATAAAGAAGGCAAGCCAAATGCATGATCTCAATATTGCTAACATCAGTGCAGTTTTCTCTGTAAACCGATATATAATGCTTCATGAGACTGATTCAACTGTAATTCAGCTATACGTATTACATACATATTCTTTTTAAAAACGCATACATATTTTAACACTCTACTTGAGGGATTTTTTGCATGTCAATAAAAATTCTTCAGAAGACTGTAAATAAAATTAATTAGCCTGTAAATACACATGTAAATATAATCTATACTATATGTGAATAAAAAATTAAATTATTGTGCAAAAATACAAAATTGAACGTTTATAAATGTTTTTATTAATGATGTATTTCTTTTTAATTGATCATTAAAAATATATAGTAATTAAATTATATTATGTTAATTGTTTAAATTTAGTGTGAAACTGAAGAATAGTTTAAAAACATAAGATGTATAATTATGTCGAGAAGTATATATATATACTTGTATATGTATATATTGAAAAGCCTGTGGGTTGCAATTATGTGGACAACCGTAACTTTCTAGAGGAAAGTGGAAACTTGGACTAAGTACATAAGGGGGCAGCTAAACCGAAACTAATAAGATCTTTAATGTACTGTTGGGACTTTGGGATTTTGGACTCTGAGACGATCTGTTTAAGTGCTTTTGCCGTATAGTAATCATAAGAAATCAGCTTTTCATCAATTTTATTAAATACGTATTTCTTTAATTTTAGTAATTTTCTTTATTAAAAATTAATTATTTTTAATTCAAGCAAAAAATCAATTCTATATGCTTCAATCATGAAATTCAGAAAATAATTTTTTTTCCATTATCAGATCAGATAAGCTATACTGATAATTAAGGGCAAGTCCAACATGTGAAATGTAAACAAACCATGCTCATTTTTTCGCATTTCTCATTTGTGTAAAAAATAAAAATTTGTCGTTTTTTTATGAAAATGGTAAATTAATGTATTAAACTTGGTAACTATACTTTATTTAACTAATTATATGAAAAAATAAGTACAATTATAATGAAATGAAAAGTACACTGAATTAGCAATTTTCTCATTTTTTTCGCACTTCTCATTTGGGTAGAAAATAAAAATTTGTCGTTTTCTTTGTAAAAATGGTAAATTTATATATTAGACTAGAAAACTATACTATATTGAACTAATTATGTGAACAAATAAGTATAATTATAATGAAATGAAAAGAACAATGAAATAATAATTTTCTCAAGGTTACGAAAAATTTAAGCATTCGAGTATATCTGAGGCACGGACGTTGAGGACCTAGGTGGGAGAAAGTGAGAGAAGGGGTAAAATTTCAGAATTTTACCCTTTCCAAGATGTGACCGTCCAATGGCTCAACTCTTTCTCCCACCTAGGTGCTCAACGTCCGTGCCTCAGATATACTCAAATGGTTTTTTTTTCGAAACCTTGAAAAAATTGCTAATTCAGTGTACTTTTCATTTCATTATAATTGTACTTATTTTTTCATATAATTAGTTAAATAAAGTATAGTTACCAAGTTTAATACATTAATTTACCATTTTCATAAAGAAAACGACAAATTTTTATTTTCTACGCAAATGAGAAGTGCGAAAAAATGTGTATGGTTTGTTTACATTTCACATGTTGGACTTGCCCTTAATAAAATTTACATTATATTTTTAGAATATTTTGTACATTAATTTAATTAAGTTATAAATTAACTATCAGTATCCCAATAATTATATCAAAGTGATCGGTTACCGGGTGTTTTAAACCAAGCACCGAATATTGCTTCTACCAAACTTATACTAATAAATAAATAAATATAATTTTATCGAAACAAAATGTTTTTGTATAGTGATTTATTAATAATAAAATGTTTTAATTTTTACATTATAAATTTTCTATTTGTCTAGGATTGTTTTTTTATTTGTATTAAGTTTTTTCGACTTGATAATTTAATGAATTTAATTGTAAATTTTAGAGCAACCAATATTATCCAAGTCGAAAATTGTTAAAATTTTAATAGGGTTTAACGCAAATTTTTTATAATTTGATGATGATCCAATTATCAATAATAAACTTGTTATAAATTTATGAAAGTCAGTAGCTCTTAATAAGAATGCAGTGCCTTTTTCATATACAAATATAGAAGAATCTGTAGAACAAACATCGAAGACATAGTAGGAGTCACAGTGCTTAAAGAGTCCAAGACAAGCATTTTCACAAGTTAAGATACCAAAATGATATTTTAAAAAACATTTTTCTATGGAACTCTTGAGACTTGTGGAACATTTGTTGTAAATTTGGACAGGCATTGATGGAAATGCTTTAAGTTTAAATAGAAAGTTTCCAATTTTAAATTCTTCACATAAATAGTTTGTGAATGATCCAGTATTTAATAATTCTACAGTTTGAAACTTCTGTTTTGCTTGTAAGATACAACAAGTAAAATAGCTGTAAATGTTGAAAAGAGTACATGTCTTTTAGTGTATACAAAGTTAAAAAAGAATATTAATTTTATATTTTTGCGTTAATATCTATATTATTAAAGGTATTAATTATGGAATTTAAAATATTACATATTCTTTTAAACAAACATTTTATTGCACGCAATTTGAATTGACATTTTATTAATAAACAATTGAATAAGAATCATATAGCACACTCTTTTGTATTATCATTTTATTCCACTAGCTTTCGAATAAACATTTTATCAACGGGGAGGGTCAATATCTAGTAAACGATAAAAAAAATAAATAACAAAAAAATGGAAAAAAATTATGGATCCCTTTTACGTAAATTACAAAAAGATAAAAAAAAATTTTGAAATGTTTTAACTACTCATCTCTAATTTTAGAACAATAGGGGTATTTTTCAGTTTGGAAAAAATTTGAGGAGTGATTACCCACACAGCACCCAAAATTCCCTGAAACTTGACAGAGCCTCACACGGCGAGGTTAGGAAACTTCAGTGGCAAGGTTCATACAAGTTTGTGTCGATGTTTAAATGTCCACATGAAAAAAATATTTACACGAAACTTTGAGGAAATATTACACATAAATATTCACGTGCAATGTTCAGTCAATGTTGTGTCAATATTCACCTATACTTATTATATTAGTAAATGAAATTTTTATAACTAGGCGAAAATGTAATTTCAATATTGACACAACATTGACTGAACATTGCACGTGAATATTTATGTGTAATATTTCCTCAAAGTTTCGTGTAAATAATCTTTTCATGTGGACATTTAAACATCGACACAAACTTGTATGAACCTTTGCCACTGAAGTTTTCTAACCTCGCCGTATGAGGCTCTGTCAAGTTTCAGGGAATTTTGGGTGCTGTGTGGGTATATTAGTGTTTAGTATAGGTATATAGTAATTTTTTGTAAAATTATTTAAACACTTTCAATGAAAGAATAAAATTTTATAATTATTGAACTTACACGTTGCCAAAAATGAAAATAGCATTCAAAGTTTGAGATGTCCAATATTCTGGTGCAATTAGTTTCGCCATACCAGCACAAATGACACAACTAGCATAAAACTGTTCTCCTTGGATTTTTTTCGGAAATATTTTATCTGAAATATGAACCTGCAACGAAAAGAGTTTACCCTTTTGCTCTACATATTGATACCACATAAACTTGTTGTTCGATGTGTTGTTTTTGCTTTCATCCTGATTCAATTTAGAAAATTGTAACCAAGGAACCTTGTTGGAAAGATCAACTTGTTCGTCCATACATAAATCTTTAAACTTAATGTTACATTCATGATTCATTTTTCTTTCAGGTATTTGCGTTTTGAAAGCTACATTTTGAAACGACTTACTATTGTAAACTTTGCAACAGTGCAAGTTTATTTTGAATATTTGAATTGTGAAAATATTATTTTCAGATTTTAAATATTTTTTGTTTCTTTCAACGGATGTAGATTCTTTAATTTGACTGACGTCATATTCTTTGTCATCTTCATTACCTTGGTTAAAATCGTTATCATTCTCAATTTCAAGATCACTCCTACTTGTGATGGATTTAAGTAAAAGAATTGTCAAGTGACGTTTTAATGAGTCTCTCGAACAAAATTTCATAATACAGTTATACCCGTAATCATCCCAAAGTCCATACTCATTGCACCTGAATGGGTTATAAAGATACCAAAACAAGCCATCTCTCCAAAAAGATAAACAAAATATGTCTGTTTTAATAATGGAATTCATATGTGAAAGATCTACTTTATCAAACCATTCTTCTATTATTTTGGTAGTGTTATCAATTAATAATTTCGATAAATTTGAATTTTTTTTTAAACCCAATGTTCCTTGGATGTGCATTAATTCGTTTCTATGCAATCTTTTTTTCTTCTTTATAGATTTTTCCACATTATTACAAGTTGAATCAGTAATTCGACAAATGTCTTTTAGTTCATCCACTAATTTAAGTTCGATATTATATTTGTAATTGTAAACTACTATATCATTTAATATTTGTCTTCTTTTAACATTAATTAAGCCCGTATGAATAAAAAGCATCCATGCGTGATCGTAAATGTAATCAACATTTCCGCTCCATGCATATTTGTATCTACACAATAAGATATAACATTTATTATTTATTAAGAAAATCATAGTGACAATACTTGCAAATTTCATTTTCATTGTGAAAAAGATAAAAAAAAGAACTAAAATTTGTGGTTTTTTTAATTTATAGAATTTTTTGCACCGAATTTTCGAAAAGTTCATTTAAAAACACACAATTCACATTTCGTAAACGGCTTATTTAAAAAATTGAAAAACATCATGAAAATTAGTCTCAGTTAGTACTGAAAGCTCAGAAGAGCAAAATGAGCAAAAAATTATAGGTTATGTTTATGAAACTTGGAGTGAAAATATACAATGAGGATCAATTTAACCTTCAACACAAACAATTGATGTTTACCCAGGTGCGAATTTTAGGTTGGCCCAACTTTACGTGCCAAAGTTGGGCTAACTAGCGGAATGATAACGGGCAGCCGCCCAATGGGGTCGATGGTTGGCCCAACTACTTTTCTCAAAGTTGGGCCGACCTTTGTCAAAAATGTAAAAATTATTACTTATACAATTAACATATATTGGGTGTTGTCTTAAATTCATCATTTATTTATTGCATACATATAAACACTAAACGCAACCTTATACATACATACATAGATTTTAAAAATATTTATTTATAAATAATTTATTTATTTGATTACATCCCAAATATTCAATAAAAAATGATTTTGGTTTTATTCAATAAAATTTTAATCACCCGCCCTTGTACTCGCCATAGCTCTAGAGTTTTCGCTGCAATCAAGATATATTAAGCGGGAGGTTTGACGTCGAGGATATGTTTGTGCATTTGGATGACTATTTAAATGTACATTCATGACTCGACAGTCAATAAACCGGCTGTATTCAGTAGAGGTTTTCCGTAGTTTTCCACTACTCTGATCAAGAAAGAGTACTTCTAATACAACTCGGCTACGGACTGCAATTTAGGGATTTTGGGGTTTTAACAGTGGGGGTTAGATGTGGATAAAATGCGTCAAAGCCTTGACGAAAAAGGTATACGCGGAGAAATCTAATAATGAAATAAAAAAAAATAGTCACTAATTAGATCCGAAACAGTCCGTCTAAATTAGACGGACCTGATCATTACTAATGAGAAAATCATTGGACTCTAGACTGCCAAAATATTTTTCTAAAAGTGAAAAATGAGCTATACTAATTTAAATTAGTAAGAATTTTCGCTAATTTTTAGTATCTTCCCCAGCAGCACGGTATATTCCCTGAATATCCGTTGAATACCACAGTGGAATATTCTCATGATCTTCTATGAAAATCAAAATGTCCGCATCATGGGAATATTCCATAGTGACATTCAGGGTATATTCCAGTGACATTGAGGGAATATTCCTCGGTGACATTCATGAAATATTCCAGTGACATTAAGGGGATATTCAGGTGATATTGTAGAAATATTCCAGTGATATTGAGGGAATATTCCACGGTTACATTGAATTTTTTTAAAAATGTGTTTTTAATCTTCCTGCTTATTCAAATAACAATTTATAACATATTTCTATTATTTCAACACTTAAAAAAAATTCAATATAACCGTGGAATATTCCCTCAATATCACTGGAATATTCCTTTAATATTACCCTCAATGTCACTGGAATCTACCCTGAATGTCACTGTGGAATATTCCCATGATGCGGACATTTTGATTTTCCTGGAAGATCATGGGAATATTCCACGGTGGTATTTAAGGGATATTTAGGGGATATACCGTGCTGCTTGGGTTTTTACTAAAACTGTAGTAAAAAATTAAAAACTATTAAACCAAATATTATAATATTTTACTACACAAGTTGTAAATTCAGATATTCATTATACATGAACATTTTGCTTCCTCTTTACGATTAGCAAAATAATTTTCTTCCACGTGAAGAAAGCATTAACATTGAAATAAACATACATATACCAATCGATTCATTTAAATGCAAGGAATACAATTATTTTATATATGAACTTGAATTTAATTAAACACAAAACTTTTTAGCTAAATTGTGAAGTTTTGATTTTTAACTTTTATTAATTCTTTAAATTTAAATCAAATATATATACTTATTTATATATTATGTCAATCGATTCGTCGTGACGTAAGGAATACGATTTTATTACAAATCTATTTTGAGATATTAATGTGATAAATAAGCCTACCAAATTTTACGCAAATCCATTAAAACCTATGTTAAAGTTATCGTGTTCACAAAAAAGGGATCCACACACACACATACATCCGGACAATTGATCAAGGTCTCATATAACATACTTCTATATAGAAGAAAATTTATTTCGACCATTGTTAAAAATTTTATAAACGAAAAGACTACAATGCTTCCTCCACGAGGAAGCAAAATTAGTAAAAATTCATACTAAAGTGAATTAGTAGCTCACTTTTCACTAATTGAAATTTAGAAAGATTAACAATAATATAAACCTACACGATAAGGTTATGGTATGGTTACAGAAAAATGACAATAAAGTTACACTGAAAGAAAATTCATACTACTAAGTATTAAACTCATATTAGAGTTTAATATAAATGTTACAATTTAGGGAAAAAGTGCACCTATACTGATTACTATTACAGTTTTTATGAAAATATATAATGAATTTAAGAGTAACTATTATTTTAAGAAATAAGAATTAGTATATTTATTTTAAAAATTAGTATTTTCTTTATGAATTCACAGAATACGAAATATTATAATAAATAATTTCACAAAATAGTAAGAAAAATAACATATATCCGTATACTTATTTCACATTTTGTAAAACTTTATACTAAAAGTCACGGATTTTCCCGAGAGACTACGAATTTAACCGAAGTTCTGTCTGTTTGCGGCTTCGTGTCCTACTCGAACTTCTACGACTTGATCCGATTTTCGAAAGTGTTGTTAACCAGCAGAACGTACCTATCAACTGTCAACACACGTGTTTCAAATGTTTATAGTGCCACAGAAAACATTTATAATTATTAAATTTATTATTATTTTTATTAATTATTATTTTTTGATGTCATCTTTACAATTATTTGATTTTTATTTGCAATAAAAATTTTTATAACAATCATAATTTTTAATCTGAAAAAAAAGAAAAATCTATATAAACAATTAATAATAAAAATGAACCCAGCGTAACCTCTATAAAATTACACCATTGGCACTAGTAAACTATTTTTTATTATTAAGTTATTATAAATAAACTTCTTTCTCGCAAGTGGTAAAAATATTCAGTAGTTAGTATATAAGAAAACGATATATGCCGACCCCCAGCGAAATTTATCGTTATGCGTATAGAATTGTAAGTGTAGGTTTCGTTGCGATCGTGTAATGTCTATGTATAAGCGAAATGAACGTGCGTGTTCATTAGTATGTGTGTTAACCTGTATCGTAAGTGTGAATGTGTTGTTCCTAGTCTCACTCCTCTTCCTCCCGAGAATTAACGGAAACGTCCGAGTTTCCACTTTTTTTCCCTTTTCTTCCGACATTCTGAATTTTTCGTATAAAGTTTTACAAATATTAGAACGCTACATTCCATATAATGCAACAACTCTATGAGAATTTAATATAATATTTTCAAATATTGGTAATCTTTTTACGTTCTTTCTACAATAATTATTAATATTTGAAAAAAGATTTTAAGTTGGAACTTTAATATAAAGTATATTGAATTTTAATAAAAAGTACACTTTTCCCTAAATTCTAAAAGAATATATTAAAATGTAATACGCATTTTGTTATTTTTTCCTATGAAATTTCTTTCAGTGTACACTATAAGATTAACATAACCTTAAGCTGTGGCGGATATTAGTCTCAAATTTTTTGACACTTCGCATCAAAAACAGATAAAATGAGATATTTCTCCTGATAAGACATCTTATAAATATCTATAACACACAGAAAAAACCTAGTCTTATTTTTGCTGCAGTTCAAAATGAGTCAATGATATAAACGCCATAGAAAGTGGCGCCACCAACTGACTCATTTTTGCTGCACATCAAAACGAGTAGCGTACGCTACTCATTTTGAGTTCAGATTTTTTTCAGTGAATGTCTTCAAATGAGACACGTGTTTTGCATGTACCGAATGCCGAACTAAAGCGAACTAAAGCGGTATCATTTTTGATGAAGCATTTTTTAAGTCCACGTTTTTTTTATCAAATTTTTATTTTCACTGATAAAACATTCTTCTTTCATGACATTAAAGAGTTGTAAATTTTGTTAGTTTCACCTCAATTGTGTTTTAGTTAATATTGCAGTGATAGCTTGATAGAAACAAAATTTCCAACTTTTGCCTTTTGCTCTTTTCGAAGAAAGTTCTGTGACATGCATTCCTCGAAAACCTCTAAGACATACATCCAAGTTGACTATTTTTTCTTTCTTTTTTGAAATGAACTCAAACTTTAAAAAATCGCCATTTACTAATCCAGAATTTGAACCAGCAGCTTGATCGACAAATAAATAATTGGTGTTCTTCATAAAAATTGGTGAAATTCTTGCACAACCTAATTCCTGCTAATTATTATGTAATTACATATATACTTTCAACACTTTTTCGCTGAAATTAATTATACTTGAAGATTGTAATATAATGTTTGTTATTAGTATGTACTCATTTTTATTGAAATATGGAAGTATTAGTTATTAAAATTGCACTATAAAAACGAATTACCTGAAAATTTAGGCACATTCTGCTCCATATTTCAATGACCTCATTATTCCGTTTATATTTATAATTTGAATTAACTTTATCCTGTCGATTATAATAACATAGGGAGAATGCTTCCATCTCCATGAGAATTTTCTTATTTAACACCAATTTCTTGCAGAAAATTCCGGTGATTTCTCAGTTTTATTCAATTTTTTGATTGGTTGATGCCTATCACTAAGTCTAGAGATCCTAAAGAGAGAGTTGAGACACAGTTGTTTTCTGCGCATCGTGATTACTCCGGAACCAGAAGTCGTATAGAAACGCGCGAAAAATTCAAATTATATTTGAAGAGATTCTTATTTACGCATGCGCGATCGTCCTCTAGTAAACAACTTAAATTGACATTTATATGGTTTGAAATGAAACTATTTTAAAAAAATTTTTTTGCATTTCATTTACTTTAGATTTTTTGGCTTGGAATTTTTGATCTGGAATTTTTGTCCGGATACCATTTATTTATTAAGTAACAATAATTTAATTTCATTGATTAATAATTACAAAACATAATTTGTTTATAATTCAATCAATTAAATTACATTATTTAGTAATTTAAAAAAATAAATCATATAGAAATTAATGTTTTCATATAATTTTTTTGAATCATTTTTAAGTCTTGTTTATGTTCTTTTGATTGTACGCTTTAATTTTTTTTAACAATTGACAATTTTGTTTAATTTGAAATTCAAATTGAATTAAATTTCGTGCGCTTTATTCGACTTCTGGTTCCAGTTTAATCACACAAATAAACTTCGAGTAATCTGTGTCTCAAATCTCTCTTTAGGATGTCTAACTAAGTCTACAAATCATTTATATAAACTGAAAATATTGCAGTAGATGAATAACTATTGCCGAGGGAACTCACACTCAGGAAAAATTATACGTAATTTAAATATAAAAAGATAATTAAACCGCCGGCGACCAAAAGGGCATACGCGTGAAAATGATAATCCATAAAGTTTTGAGATAGTTATATGGATTTGAAAATGCCAGTGTCATTTAAAACGTCAAAACTTCCACCTCAACTACTTTCTACAAAAATTTGTAAATGAGCTAATATGTTAGGAATTTCTTTTCTCTCATACAGGGTATCAATTTACTAAAGTTACAAGCCAGTTCAATAACTTGGAACTTTTGATCTGGACACATTAGAAATTTTAGCCTATATATATAGACTTCCCACCTACAATAGGATTTTAATATTATAGATATTTAGATACTTATATGCTATTATATACCCTTTTTCCAAATAATATTTTATAATTTAATAATATTACATAGGTATTTATATCGTAGGTTAAAGAATCATATATATGGGGCATTCCACGTAAGATTTTTATTAAAATTTTTTTTTTCACTGCTCAACATTTTTTTCAAAATCTTTCTAAAAAATAGGGAAATAAGTATTTTTTATTTTTTGATGTGATAAAAATTATAAAAGTTATTATTTTTTTAATTTTAATGACGTCACAAGCAAACTACTTTTGAAATGTGTTTTTCTCTGCCCTGCAAACAAATAATAAATATGCTTCCGTATTAGTTATACATTACACTGTTAAAAACGTATGTCATTTTAATATACCTGCATAAAATACTTAAATTTACGAAACTGGCATAATAAAGTGGAATTAATATATACAAAGTATCTTAAAAAATTGCATTTTACTCAATTTATGCATGTTCTTGTTTATAAATTAATATTTTAATTATTAAAGCAAAATAATTTCTTTACATAAAACTAGTTTAATTCAATTTAAATTGTAAAAACGCACGTAATTGAACATTTAGAGTGCCTAACGTAAACGTCACAAACATGTATTAAAATTCTGGTATTTAGAATGATTTTTGAAAAATTTTCTCCTCATAAAACATTATTTGGTTATAAACAACACAATAATTAAAGAATTACGCACTGTTATTAAAATTTTAAATAAATATTCAATTCAATTTAATATATACATGTATCTTAGATTTCAATAGCAGTACTGCTAAAATCTAAAAAAAAACTTATTTCAAAAGTACTCTGCTGCTTGTGACGACATTAAATTTTAAAAAATAATAATTTTCATAATTGTTACGAAAGATTTGAGAAAATTTTCAAGTATATTAACATTAATCAATAATTATGTTATTGTCATTTAAGTGAAAAGATAATAAAAATTAGAAGTCTATTTTATTACCCCATCATATATATGTGAGTGCCATGTATGATATATTATTATTAGAATAAGTCCATTTATCTAGAAAATTGGCTCTTTTCTATTTTTTGTTCAATTCTTAATTTTGTTTTTCTATCTTCAGTAACTTTTAAAATTTGAAATTTTTTTTTCTTCACACTTTGACAGTTTTTAAATTAAGTAGAGGAAAGTCATATTTTACTTCTATGATTTTTAAAGGTTACATATATATTATTGAATATTTTTTAGCTGTATAGATAGGTATATATGAATATAAATTGTCTATTGATTTTAGTCTTATATTTAACTTTTGTAATTGTTAATAATTCAATTATATTTGACAATTAATTTATAAAAATTTCAACAACCCGTTGCGTCAATAAGCAATGGTGAGTATCAACTGTCAAATGCCTTTATCACTAAAATTAATAAACAATGATATAACGAAAAATTAATTTTCTAAAACAAACGTATTTGTAACCTAAAATGTACATATTCAATAATTTAAGCATTTTTTGCAATAATTTCATCGTTACATTTGTCTACCAAAGAGAGACTCTTTATTTTTATCTTTTGAAACATGTTAATTTATCACGATAGCAAGGAGAGCGTTTTCAAAGAGAATTTTATTCTATAAAAATTAAATTATTCATAATAATATATTATACACTATTTCGAAAGAGAATTTGCATTTTTTAAAATTTTTCAAAATTTTTCTATATGACTTAACCAAAATAATATTTATTTAACCATATTTTTTGGAAAGAATAAAAAAGTTTCGTTCATTGAAATAAAAGTTTTCTTCGTTCCTACCCATAAAAAAAATCTTGGCAGGTATGTTTTTTGAAGGTTTTTTCATGCTCTTTCTAATGGTGAATTTCGTTTTTTAAAATTTTTGAATTTTGACCTTGATTTTCTATAATTAAACATAAATTTGATATTTAACATCTCGAAAACAAAAAAAATTGTCATTCTGATGGCATATACAGATCGGAAAAAACCTCAGCTTTCGTTTGCAATTATTTATTTAAAAAAAACGCATCCATTTTAGTGAAAAAAGCAAATTTATGTTTAATTATAGAAAATCAAGGTCAAAATTCAAAAATTTTAAAAAAACAAAATTCACCATTGGAAAGAGCATGAAAAAACCTTCAAAAAACATACCTGCCAAGATTTTTTTTATTGCATTTATAGACAGAAAAAATTAAAATAGTAGGCGGTGTCAGGGAAAACTGATAAAATTGACCCCCCTCTATCTCCCCCAAAATTTCAAAAAAGTCAAAAAATTTTTTGGGGATATTTTACTATCAGGTAGGACAACAATTTTCCCAAGTTTCACTTTTTTTCGAGAAATCAATTTTTTAACTTAGGACATTAAACGTAAAATGCCTCATATATATATATATATATATATATATATATATATATATATATATATATATATATATACGGAGAGAAATTTTTCACTTTAAAAGTACCAATACCCAAGCAGCACGGTATATTCCCTGAATATTCGTTGAATACCACAGTGGAATATTCTCATGATCTTCTAGGAAAATCAAAATGTCCGCATCATGGGAATAGTCCATAGTGACATTCAGGGTACATTCCAGTGACATTAAGGGTAACATTAAAGAAATATTCCAGTGATATTGAGGGAATATTCCACGGTTATATTGAATTTTTTTTTAAATGTTGAAATAATAGAAATGTGTTATAAATTGTTATTTGAATAAGCAGGAAGATTAAAAACACATTTTTAAAAAAAATTCAATGTAACCGTGGAATATTCCCTCAATATCACTGGAATATTTCTTTAATATTACCCTCAATGTCACTGGAATATACCCTGAATGTCACTGTGGAATATTCCCATGATGCGGACATTTTGATTCTCCTGGAAGATCATGGGAATATTCCACGGTGGTATTCAAGGGATATTCAGGGGATATACCGTGCTGCATGGGTACTGTACTAGCGATTTTCCTATGTCCGTTTTCTTAACAAAAACGTTATACTAAACGTTATACTTAGTTATACTAAAATAGTTCCAAAAATTTCCATGCGTTAAAAGACCACTGGTATTAACGTTATTAGTAGCAATTTTATGTCTATATTGCACGAATGACAAGTGAACATACTGCCCTACAACGGAAAAAGATACATAAGCCACAAATAGGTCGAACGGAGATATTTGAGAAAAACCATTTGCATCAAAAACTTCATTTAGAATTCATTTTTTATGAATAAAAATATCCCTAATGGGGTAAATCGGATGTGCTCTTTCTATTTTTGCAAAAAAAATTAATTATTTAAACAATCCCTTTTAAAAAATGCACTTGCGTAGTTTTTTTAGTGCAAATACAACGTAAAAAGAACACAAAGTCGCTTGTGGTGTTTTTCGTTGTAAAGTCATCGAGCGGATCAAAGATGTCCAGCAAAGAATATACATAAGGGACAAGAGAGTATGGGATTAGAGTATGGCGCTTGTGTATAGTCTCCACTATGGACATCTTTGCTCCGCTCGATTATTTTACAAGCTAAGAAAATACACAAGCGCGCTTGCGAATATCGTTCTGTAAACGAAGCCGAGCTCGGCCGCTTTTACAACGGAAAAAGATACATAAGCTACCTCGCGTAGATTCTTCCATTGTATTTTGTGACGTATTTCATGCCTCCTACAGAATTTAGGCAACGCAAAGTACCTCATGTGTCTTTTTCCGTTGTATTTTCTCATTTTTCGCGAATTACAATATTTTCAATCTTAATTTTTTATTATAAATAATTAAAATTTTGAATTTTAATTACGATAGTCAGATGCAGCTTTTTATTACGAATCCATTGATACCAAAAACTCATTTTTGACCAAAATGTCACTTATGTATCTTTTTCCGTTGTAGGGCAGCATAGTTCCCCGCTCTGCCATGCGAGATTTGTTCAAGGCACATACCAATATAGCGTCAACATCGAGCGATTATTCCAATTAGTTGTCAAATAATTGCTCGACGTTTGACGCTATATTAGTATGTGCCTTGAACGAAATTCACATGGCAGGATGAAGAACTATATTCACATGACATTTATACGAATATAGAAGAATCAACGACACTTTATCTCTCGGGAAACACCCCAAACTATTTTAGTATGTCCAAGAGTGGTATTGGTATAAACTTTATGCTATTAAAGTCGCAATAGTTGTTTTACTAAATCAGTAAGTAGTTTTCATACGAAATTAGGGAGAAATTTCTCTTCGTATATACATATATACATAAGACTGCTCTTGTCTATAGCTGGGCAGTCTCCATTTACGCCTTGGAATTAAAATGTCTTATATATCTTGCGTATTGCAAATATATATACTTAAATGTTTGGAACATCTGCTCTTTTCAAAATAAAAATTACTAAAAATAAAGTGCCATATTATATTTATTGCATTCGAAAAATTAATCAAAACTTAAGTGTCTTTATATTCTTAGTTTAAAATTGAGGGACTTTAAGGATGCAGCATCGTTTACCAGCGATTTTGTAATTATTTTCCCAGAGGCAGACGAAGCCTTCCAAAAAGGCAATCTCGGCGTCCGAAGCCGCGTAGCAACCAAAGTGTTTATAAAATTACAGCGATTCTGGGTTGAAATAACGTGAAGCCTTAGATTCACCAAATCATTATTGGATTTGGGAACCACATCGAAGACGCTGACTTTCCGTTTGTAACGATCAAATAAATTGAATCTATGAATTTGCATCATTGTTGATATTATTTACAAGCCCAATATCATCATTACTTTCATTCACTTTATGTTTCTTTAATTCACACATTTCAACATAACTTATTATTACTATTAGAACTTGCAACTTGGAAAACTTACAGCTTTTCAGAAAGTCAAGATTCACAGTTGAGATGTTTAACCCTCACGTGCCTCAGTTCATTTTTTGACATGCGTGCCTGAGCTATGGGTCTGAGCTGCTTAAATTCCATACAAAACAAGATTTAATAGCTGGATATTCAATATTTTAATTCTAAATTATAATTGTAATATTTTGCAAATATAATTGCAAAAAATATTTAATCTTTTGACACTCTAGGGTACATAAATAGCCCACAAAGTCGCCTCGTGACACCTTTTTCGAATTTGAGTGACGAGTACAAAAAAAGTAATTAATTTAATTTAAGTATTACTGGGTATTCTTATATAGGTTTTTGAAGTCGCTGATTATAAATCAGACGTCAGATTTGAAAATTCAAAATGTCGAATCCAATATGGCGGACGAATTTTCAAAAATTAAACATATTTGCTTGAAAATAATTACTCGGAGGTTTTTGGGGTCGCTGATGAAGAATCCGGTGTCCGTTTTTCAAAATTCAAAATGGCGGATCCCATATGGCGGACAGGAAAATTAAAAATTAATACAATTTACTACTAATATCAAATTCGTAACCAGCGACCTTGAAATCCTTGAATAACGAGTTTTAAGCAAACCGTCAAATTTAAAAATATATATTCGCCATATTGGTTCGCTATTTTTAATTTTGAAAAAGTAACACCAGATTTGTAATCAGCGACCCCAAAAACCCGCTAGTAACGATTTTCAAGCGATACCGAACGATTTTTTTAAAATTCTTCCGTCATATTAGATCGGCCATTTTGAATTTTGAAAAACGGACACCGGATTCGTAATCAGCGACCCCGAAAACCCCCGAGTAACGATTTTCAAGCGAATATGTTGAAGTATATGAAAAAAAAGTTGTCTGGGTCCGAGGGACCCAGCTCAGGCAAGTACGTACATAAGAACTATAAAATGATGTATTATAATGAGTTTTACGTAAAAAAATTCTCTTTCTTTTTTTTATATGTACGTTATAGCATCAGCTTATTCAATTAGATAACGATTTTGAAAAAAAAAATTCTTAAATAGAAGTAAATGAAAAAGAAAATTGTCTGGCTCCGAGCACAGAGAGAACAAAGTAGTTGAGGCAATTAATAAAATGGTTACGAATACTATTTTGGTTAGTAAACTATACAGCTGCTAATTCGATAGTCAGGGATACCATTTAGGGGATACCATTTTATTTAGTTAACCTTACTAATAAAATAGGTAATTCGATATAAATAAAATACAACCGCAATTATTTATTTAATATTATTCATATTCAAAAAAATATGTTTTAGGTTGCTATAACTTTCTTGCGCTTTACCAAGTAAGATATAAATTTTATATTAAACATACTTTTTGTATCATGCGAATAATAATAAATAAATTTGTAGTTTAGATTTATTGGTTAAATTGTCACTTACATTCAAAACAAAATCTTCGAACCCCCCTGAGATTAATAACTCCGGCAAATCCACGCACTTTTTTAACACTCAATAAAATAATTTATATAGAAATAATATT